TACATTACTACAGAAGATCAGGTGGCTGATATCTTTACAAAGGCATTAAATTATGAGAGGTTTTCTAAACTTAGAAAATCTCTCGGGATGTGTACTCAATAAACATGTCCTGAAATATGTTGCAGCACCTCATCCAATATCTTAAGATGCAACATAATTTACTGAAGCTTAGCTTCTTTAAATAATGATTTCACTGTGATAGATTATTCTCTAAATAAGTAACTGGAAGTCTTTCACCTTGAAACGTGATCATGCTTCATGTAAACATTCGGAGAACAATTATAATCACATAAGTCAAACTCCTCTATCTGAATAGTGATATCTTAGTAACTGAGGAACCTTCAAACTGAACACTTGATCATGTTCCATGTGAATTGTTTGACTTGAAAATAAGAGTTTAAAAATATATATATATATATATATATATATATATATATATATATATATATATATATATATATATATATATATATATATATATATATATATATATATATATATATATATATATATATATATATATATATATATATATATATATATATATATATATGCATGTTAGCCAATTTTTCTCACACTATTAATCATTAAAATATGTGTTTTTTATTTAAGTGTAAATTTCGTGAGTGCAACCCCTAACTTAAATGGATAAATGAGGATGGATCCCACCCCTTTTTCAATATTAGTGAGAACCCCCTAATTTATTTAATTAAATAAGTACTTAACAAAACTTATACTAATGTTCCTAATTTACCCCTTTTACCAAATTAAATATTATTTCCCATCTTCACCAAACCCTAAAAGTCATTCTCTATAATTTCACGATATGGAAGAAAACATGGCTAGGGCAGTGCAGGCGGCGGCGTCGCCGCCAAAACAAGGATGAACTGCGGTTTTTTCGATCTCCCCTTTTCCTTTATACGGTGAGTGCAGATTTGCTAGTGTTTGTTTTTTTTTTTCTTTTTCTTCAATTTTTGGAAGCATTCCTATAATCCTCGTCGGAAAATTGCCCCACCAGCGCTGTAATTGAATCAATCGACCCCGAGGAGGATAAAGAAACCTTGGGTTGCATCTTTAAATCGCGACCGCAGACATCGTTAACAAAAGCTTTGTTCGTTATATTCGGTGGCCATCAAAGGCGTTGGAATCAACTATGGGAGACCCTTTGTTTTTTTTTTGGTAATGGTTAATCCTCTCTACCTCCACCCTCGTCTCCATCGTCGGATCTGGTAACATCGCTTTGCTCCACCGCAACCATAATTTAAAAAAAAAAAAATCGGAGATGTTTTTGTTGATGGGTATCTTTTGCAGCAATATAGTTGTTTTCGTGATTCTACTATTTTGTATAGTTGTTTTCGTTATTCTACTATTTTGTATAGTTGTTGATGGGTATCTTTTGCAGCAATATAGTTGTTTTTTTTTTTTTTTTTTTTTTTTTTGTTCTTTTGATTTTTGGAAGCATTCCTGGAATTCTCGTCGGAAGACCGCCTCCACCACCGCTGTAATGGAATAGATTGACCTCGAGGAGGAGGTATTGTTTGGGAGGCTGGTTTGTTGAAATTGTGTTCGTGTTACTCAAAAAGATATAGTTGTTTTCGTTACGGTTGTAGTTGGTTTCAATAATAGTCGTTTTTGTTGGAATTTTGGTGTATTTTTTGGCTTTTGCTTTTGTGGATTTCAATAATTTGTAGTTGATTAAATATAATTGTTTTCGTATAGCAATATAGTTATTTTTGCACAACAATATTATTGTTTGAATAAATAGTTGATTTTAACAAACAATTGTTTTGGAGATTTTTTGATTAAATAATTAGTTAATCTTACAATGGAAATAATATAATATATAATTAACTTAATAAATTGTGAAACTTATGTATTATTGTTTTAATACTAATTGTTTTAATAATAGTTGTTTTGATAATAGTCGTTTTATTGGCATATAGTTGTTTTAACTGAAAACTAAAAGAATATAGAAAATGAATATTTAAAGAAAAATATTAAAAAAAATAAAAAAAAAACTTAAAAAATTATTATTTTTAAAGAGGAAATAAATAAAAAATTAAAATTAAAATTAAAATAAAAAAAAATAAAAAAATATCAAACTAGTGGATAATAAGTAGTGAATAGTGGGAGGGTAAATTTGAGAATATAAAAAGAATGAGTTTCTCACTAATAAAGGAAAATGAGCTGGACCCATCCTTATTAAAATAATGTTAGAGGGGGTTCTCACTAATAGTCCCATATTTTTATTATTATTACTATTATTTTTATTATTGAATTATCACTATTTATATGGGTCATGGGGTACATGGGTTAGTCTTTTATTTTCCACTAAGTCCACTCCTTATTGTGCCATGTGTCACGCTTTGTCTTAAACTGCCAAATAAACCTTTATTCTCCTTAATCACACTTTCTCCAAGAAAAACAGACACCACTTCTTCACCTTCTCCACTTCATTTTTTTCTGCAAAAATTAAGGCTTATAAATTTCGTGCTTTTTTTTCAAACATTCACACTCAAAAATAAAAATCACAAGAAGCACTTTTTTATCTACTGTATCATGGCATCTCCTCCTAGAAATCCTCTTCCAGTCGTTGGTGATGCCACAACGATGCTGCAACACCTGAACCAGCAGACCCTAATCTAGCCATCATCGTTCATCCTGTCAACCTTGAAGTTATGCCGATCAGCTTTATTGAGCTCGGAGACGAGCTGAATCCGATTGACCCATACAACTTCCAGAATGTGGGTCCCTCTTCCACTGCAGGAAGGTTTCCAACTCGCCGGTCCAAGCGCATGAACCTCTTCCCAGATCTGAATGCTACTGGATCACAACGCCGGAGGGGAGGAAACTCTCCCAGCAGAGGCGGCAGAGGTGGAAGAAGAGGCGGCAGAGGTGGTCGCACTCTAGTTACGCCAAACCCACCAAGAGGTCTTCATTTGGTTGATGAAGAAACTGATGATGAAGAAGGAGATCCTACTTTTGCAGAACCAGAAGCCCAAGCTCTCTCCTCAAGCTCCTCTGAATCATCCTCAAATGATTCGATTCCACCAGCATCAACTCAGGGGGAGACATCTCAGCCTAACATGGCAGCAGCAGCTTCACAACATCATGTTTCTTAAGATGTTGCTGCACATGTTCCAGAAGATACTGCTGCACCCACTGTCTCAGCCAATGCCCATCAGAGTGCTGCTGAGGATGTTGCTCCCTACCAAGATGAGGAAATGCCTGACTTTTCTAGGATGTCTTCTGCTGAGCATGTAGACATTCCCACTGTTGATGCCCAGAACATCGAACACCCTCAGCTCCACATGCAGACCCTCTGGAAACTCTGGCAGAGGCAGCTGTTCAAGTGGATGCATCACCTTCCCAGGTTGAAGAAAAAAAGGAAAGTAATGACAGCTGGGAAGTTCCCCTTGCCTTCTTCCGCAAAAATTTGTCATCCTCAGTGTCAGACAGTGACTCTTTTGAGGAATCCTCTCAGATGGAAGAAGATGTTGCCCCACCTGTTGCATCACTTGAGCCAGCATACATCCCAGATGAACTTGAAAACTCAGAAGAAGATGAATCCTCTTAGGAAGAAGAGCTAGACTTGGATGGGAAGGATCTGTCAACTTCTTTTGAGGTCAAAATAATCTTGGTACTGAAGGTGTTGCTCCTCATGTAGACAACACCCTTGACATTCTTGTTTCTGTTCCTCGAGATCTTTTGTTACAACAGCTTACTCACTCTCTAGCTCAGATTACTTACCACCAGTCCATGGTGGAAATGCTCCAAAAAGCTCTTTCTGATAAAAAAAAGGGGGAGAACAAGCTAATCATGAAGTTGAAGCAGGGACTTCTCATCCCTTGGATGCCAGAGGAAGAAATCATGGAGTTAATAAAGAAGAAGAAAAGAATGAGGGTGAAGCTGAAGGAGCAGAGGAAAGCAGTGGGTCCAGTGCTAGTGATGGAGGAACAACAGCTGATACTGAGGAGACCTTGGATATTCTACTTTAAAGTTATTTTTATGAACAATATTTGTTTTTGTTCAGTTTGTTATTTTCCCTCTGGACTTTTATGGTAGGATTGCACTATTTTGTTATTTGCTATATTGGTTATCATATTCAGGGGAGTTCAAGCAATGACTCAGGGAGAATTAAGCTAACATTAAGTTTTGATCAGAAAGTTAAAAAATGGGGAGTTTGAAACACGTGGAATTTTGAAATTCCACAATTTGTTTTTTAACTTTCTTATTTTTAAACTAAATTTTAGTTATATGCTAAGTAGTGCTTAGTGGGTTAAGTATAGTGCTTAGTGGGCTAAGTATAATGCTTATTGGGCTTAGTGGGTTAAATTGAGGATATCATCTTAACTACTAAACTAACCCACTAACCCATGTTCTTGAGTGCTCTTGTAGTTGGTTTTCTTGGAAGCTTGGAATGTCTATAAATACCGACTTCAAGACTCAAGGAATATTATCGATTCCAAGAAATAAACACCGAGAACTGAAAAGAATACATGAGTGTTTTAGTGTGTTTTTAGAATCGGTTGTTTGTACTCCTCATAAGTACAATCTTTGTAGTCTAGATTATTTAGTATATATGTTTCTAGACTTGGTTGTAAGAATGATCAAGATAGTGATTCATTCATAAGAAAGAAGTTCTTTACGTACTCCTCACGAGTACATTCTTTGAAATCTAGAATTTTTAGTATTTATCTTTTTGTTTCTAGATTTGAATGTAAGAATGATCATGCGAATGATTCATTCATAAGGAAGAAGTTTTCGTACATCTTCTCTTTGTATTCTTGTAATACAGTTTTAATATAATTTTTCCGTCCTGTAAAGGGCAAGTTCACAAGTTTTACTTGTGAACACTTTTAGATCTGAGTATTGTCTTTATATTTCCGCTGCATGTTTATTAAAGTGTCATAACACTTAAGATAACATCTCTGTATTAAACGAATTCGGGACCATAAATTCTTTCACTCTTAATATTAGGATATTACTATTAGTATTAGTAATTGTAATGGTAATGGTAATGGTAATGGTAATGGTAATGGTAATTATAATAATGGTAATGGTAATGGATGATATTGGTATCAATTTTGATATTGATGTTAGTATTGGTAATGGTAATGGTAATGCGAATGATATTGGTATCAGGGCCGTTCCTGAGAATTCGGGGGCCCTAGGCGATGATTAAAGAACAACTGAAAACAAGGGCCCCTATTTGATAATTTTTTTTTATTAATGGGTATTCGAAATTGAATGTATTAAAAAAATATAAATAATTTTTTCTAAAAATGATGAAATAAAAGATTATGGGGGTTTGGGGGCGGTGCCCCCAAAATATTTTTTGAAATGTATGAATATAAAGTAGCTAAAAATGTGGAAAAAAATTCAAAATTAATAATATGATTTGCTGGTTCACTTCCTCCCGTGACGTATAATCTTTATAGCAAATACGACATTATAAATTTAATATTTAAGGGCCCCAAAGTTAGGAAAATTGCAAAAATATCTATTGATCATTTAGCTTAAATTTATTTTAGAACCGATGTTCCAAAATATTATATATAATAAATTTTTAGAAATAGGTACTAATATATAAAGTGTAAATAAAATAATCTGGGGGCCCCAAATTTTCGTAAAATATCGGGGGCTCTAGGCGACCGCCTACTTCGCCTCCTCTCAGAACCGGCCCTGATTGGTATTGGTGATGGTAATGGTAATGGTAACAGTAATGATAACAATAATTGTCATGGTAATGGTCATGATCATGGTAATGGTAAAGATAATGATATTGATAATGGTATCGATATTGGTATATGTATTGGTTTTGATATTAGTATTTGTACTGATATTGGTATTGATATTGGTAATAGTATTGGAATTGGTAATTGTATTGATATTGGTATTGGTATTGGTATTGGTATTGGTATTGGTATTGGTATTGGTATTGGTATTGGTATTGGTATTGGTATTGGTATTGGTATTGGTACTGGTATTAGTATTGGTATTGGTATTGGCATTAATAATTGTACTGATATTGGTATTGGTATTGGTATTAGTATTGATATTGATATTGGTATATATTGGTATTGGTAAATTAGTATTGATATTAGTATATTAGTATTAGTATTAGTATTAATATTAGTATTAGTATTAGTATTAGCATTTGTATATTAACATTAGTATATTAGTATTAGTATTAGTATTAGTATTAGTATTAGTATTAGTATTAGTATTAGTATTAGTATTAGCATTTGTATATTAACATTAGCATTAGCGAATTAATATTAGTAATAGTATTAATAATAGCATTAGTATATTTGGATTAGCATTAGCATTAATATTAGCATTAGCATATTAAAATTAATATTAGTATGAATATTAGTATTAGAATTAGCATTATAATTAGAATTAGTATTAATACCAGTATTATGATTAGAGTTATAATTAGAATTAGGATTTGCATTACCGTTAGCATTAGCATATAAGGATTGATATTAAGATTATCGTTGGAATTAGCATATTTGCATTTCTATAAGGATTAGAATTATGATACGTATTATTATTAGGATTAAGATTATGATTAGAATTAGTATTAAGATTAAGACTAACATTACCATGCATTAGGATTACAATTTGGATTAAAACTATAATTGAGATTAGTATTCGAATTAAGATTACAGTTAATACCAGAATTAGAATTAGAAATATCATTAGGATTACTAACATTAATAGTAATAGTACTATTATTATCATATTAGTATTAGTTATAGAATTAGTAATGGTAATGATAATGATAATGATTGATATTGCTATAGGTATTAGTATTGGTATTGATAATGATAATGAAAATAGTAAATAGTAAATAGTATTGGTATTGGTGACGGTAACTGCAATGGTTGGTAATGTTAATGGTATTGATATTGGTAATGGTAATGGTAATGGTAATGGTAATGGTAATGGTAATGGTAATGGTAATGGTACTGGCACCGGTAATGGTATTGGCATTTGTATTGATATTGGTACTGGCGTACTGGTATTCATTACGTACACAATACGAAATATATTTTTTATTTTGTTTTACTTTTCTACTACTTTGTATTGGATATCATTGATCTTACTATTTCCATGATTTTTTTTTAAATCAAATATTTAATTTTTACGATAAATTCCCTGTGCAACGCACGGGTGAAGTACTAGTTAATATATTAATGTAGGAAAACAATCTTATTTTTGTCAACAAATATAGTTATTATTAAGATAATAAGAATATTCGAGCATTTAATTTCTATATGCATATAAAATATAAATACAAAATAATTTATGTTATAATCATTATGATAATTCTTATGATAATTTTTTAAATAATTACTAATCTTGACTACAAGATAAGTTGTTTGAAAAAAAAATATATATGCTATCGATATTCATATAATATAATAAAATATTTGGGATAGTGTATTTTATTCAAATTCATACGTTTGGCTCTAGTATTTAAACTACTTGCCTGAATAGGTGCAGAAGGAATCAATGTATAATCAAAATTATAGAGATGAGATATGATTACACTAATATATTGGAAGAAATCCATGAATGGAAACAAATCAAATAATTTTGTAGGTTTGACTCGGAAACTTTATTGGACTAATTGTCTTGTAATCTCGTCCAAATTAGAAATTATACAATATTTCCACAATCTTCAAATTCTTCTCACCATCAACGTATACATATACATATATATATCTATATATATATATGTATATATGTATAGATAGATACATCTTCAAGAATCATTCCATCAAATATGAGTTTCATCACTACTTCATTTCTAGGTCTCGTCTGCATACTCAATTTTCATCAATTTCTCAAAGCAGAAAAGCTCGATGTATACATCGTACATGTAGATCCTTCACATTCCGACGATCTCGACACGTTTTACGATTCATTCTTGCCGACGATTACCAATGTAGCTGCCGGCTCAACCAATAGTACTACCAACCGGCCCAGAATATTGCACCGCTACCGCCACGTGTTTTCCGGTTTTTCCGCCAAATTATCCGCAGCCGATGTCGAAGCAATGCGGCTTAAGAAGGGTTTCGTCTCGGCCCGGCCCGAAAGGGTGTTGCGTCTGCTCACCACGCATTCTCCCAGTTTCTTGGGGTTGAACCAAAACACGGGCTTATGGAAAAAATCGAACTACGGCAAGGGCATCATCATCGGCATGGTGGATATCGGAGTCGAGCCCAGCCACCCGTCCTTCGCCGACGCAGGGATGCCGCCGCCGCCTGCGAAATGGAAGGGCGAGTGTCAGTTCCGCGCCGGCAAGGGGGCATGCAACAATAAGCTGATCGGAGCTAGATTCCTCGTCCCTGAAATTTCGCCACTGACCGATAAAGAAGGCCACGGCACACACACCTCCAGCACAGCCGCCGGGAACTTCGTCGCGGGCGCCGGATTCTTCGGCAACGCCAACGGCACCGCCTCCGGAATCGCGCCGCTAGCTCACCTGGCGGTGTACCAAGCGTGCGACAACAAGACCGGCTGCCCCGAGAGTGCTATCGGCGCCGCCATCGATGCCGCCATCGACGACGGCGTCGACATACTCTCGATGTCCCTCGGAGCGGAGGTTCACCCCCACTTCGCCAACGATGTTCTCGCGGTCGGCACTTACAGGGCCATGGAGAGGGGCATTATCGTCAGCGCAGCCGCAGGTAATGCCGGCGCGTTCGGTAGTGTGACTAACGAGGCACCGTGGATTATGACAGTCGGAGCCAGCACCACCGACCGGAGAATAACCGTCACTGCGGTTCTCGGAAACGGCGAGCAAATAGATGGAGAAACTGGCAAGGGTTTCCCCTCTATCGAAAAGTTGGACCTTGTTTACCCTCGACCACGTCGCGGCGGAAAGGCAGCTTGTCGTGGCCAGTTGGACCCCAATATTAGAGGAAAGATAGTTGTGTGCCAAAATAATATTCTAGTCGACGGAATCGGGTCCGGAATAGCGGTAAAAGCTTATGGTGGGGCCGCTGTGATTATATGGAACTCCGAATATCAAGGTGACACCACTTTCGATGATCTGCACGTTCTTCCAGCAATGCAAGTCGGTTACGCAGATGGCCTCAAGATAATTGAATATTTGGATTCGACTCCAAATGCCACGGCCGCAATGTTGTTTAAAGGAGCTGTTATAGGTAACAATCAGGCTCCAGTTGTGGCTGAGTTTTCCTCAAGGGGTCCTAGTCAGGTCACTCCGGGTATTTTGAAGCCGGATATTATTGGTCCTGGAGTTAACATTCTTGCAGCTTGGCCCGTTTCTCTCGAAAACCAAACCAACACAAAGTCCACATTCAACATAATCTCGGGTACATCAATGTCGTGCCCGCATCTTAGTGGGGTCGCAGCATTGCTCAAAAGCGCGCATCCTGATTGGTCGCCTGCAGCCATCAAGTCAGCAATCATGACCACTGCGGATCAAGTGAACATCAAAGGCAATCCGATCGAGGATGAACAATTGCATACCGCCGATGTCTTTTCTATTGGTTCGGGCCATGTTAATCCTACACGGGCAAATGATCCGGGCTTGGTTTATGATATCTCGCCAGACGATTATATCCCTTATTTGTGTGGCTTGAACTACACGAACCAAGAAGTCGGCATCATTGTTGGGCGTAAGGTGGATTGCGCGAAAGTTAGAAGCATTCCCGAGGCTCAATTGAATTATCCCTCGTTTTCGATTGTACTAACGGGACCGACTAATCAATTTTTCACGACTACGAGAACATTAACAAACGTCGGTAAGCCTAATTCATCGTATCACGTTGAGATTGGTTCGACGGCTGACGGTGTTTTCGTGGAAGTGAAACCTCAGGAACTCTTCTTTCAAAAGTTGGGCGATAAACTGAGCTACAATGTAACGTTCACCGTATTAAGAAGTACCAGAAAGGTGACGAATACTACTACTCAAACTCAAGGATTTATTACGTGGACTTCTGCGGACTACTCTGTTAGAAGTCCCATAGCATTTGTAATTTAATTTTAATTATTTTTAATTATGAATTTTTCGGAGATGGATGACATTTATCTTAATAAAAATCAATAAGTAGTTTGTTATAGAATAAAGTCATTAGCAGCACATATTTATGTATATATACGAGATATACCTTTTTTTTTATTGAAGATGTAAATAGTATAAATCAAAAAAAGTCGTAGACAACTACAACGGGCATACCCGAGGGAAGGCATAAAGAGATAGCTACAAGCTATCGAAAACATAACGCAAAAGCCAAAACATAAAGAGAAAGAAAAATAACGGTTGGGGTTAGCCCCCAAGCCCTAGTTGGCGTCAATGTGGTCCATGATGAACCGGCCGCCGCTGTTGGTCGTCAATTCCGGGTGCTGCATGAACATAGCTGAGTAAACATGTGTTTGAATCCTCCGAGTAAGGGCGGCTACCGTAGTCTCCGTCATATCAAACCTTCGTTTGTTCCGCGCCTCCCATATGTGATAAACTACACTCGCCAAAGCACATCGTCTCGTCTTGCTTCGGTACGATTTACCCTTTACATCCTTTACGAGCCATTTCAAGGCAGCCCGTAGCGTAGTTGGTCTTTGTGAGATCCCTAGCCATATACGTATTCGGTCCCATACGTCTCTCGAGATGCTACACCGAAAAAATAAGTGCTCACGGTCCTCATTCCCCGCTCCGCACATCACACAAGTCTTCTCAACAACCTGAAAATTTGCCACATTCTCAAGGGTTTGCAACCGATCAAGGGCAGCTAACCAAAGAATGAAAGAGTGTTTGGGAGTCATCGAGTGGTCCCAAATTCGTCGGCCCCATGGCGGCCCCCCGGTCGGGGCCCTAATCCAGTCATAAACACGACCCACCGTAATCTTCCCCATGCTTGAGAACGTCTCCAATCGAGCAAGAAGCAATGGAATGGAACCCGCCTTGCCCACAATTTCATCCCTAATTCGACAGATATTTTTAAAATACGTGGGTGAAGTCGTCGACGGTTGCCATTCCCACACGTCCATTCCTTTGAGATAGAACTCGTTAATCCATTGGATCCATAGGGAGTCCTTTTTTCAGGTGGATATCCCATAGGTCCTTCACTAGCAAGCTACGGTTCCATGTGCGCAGACACCGAAGCCCCAGCCCCCCATCAGCCTTCGGTTTGCACAAATGCTCCCATCCCACTTTGGGCGCACTAGTACCCCACAAGAAATCCCTAGCCATATCTTCAATATAACCAATAACTGTAATCGGGATCGAGAAAATCGACAGCCAATAGCAACACGTACCTTGAACAACGGCTTTCAAGATCTCCAATCGGCCAGCGTATGATAGCGTATGGCCCTTCCAAGCTCCAATGGCATGCTCGATTTTATCCAAAAGAAGTTGGTAATTCAGCACTCGAAGTTTAGACGCAACAAGAGGAATACCTAAGTATCGAAATGGGAAGGTTCCGGTGGCAAAGCGAAATTCCTCCTCGATCGATATACGGTCGGCCACAGGGACTCCAGCGAGAAAAACGTTCGACTTCAAGTTGTTCACAAGAAGTCCCGATGCTCTCCCAAACTCAAGCACCGTGGTGGCAAGCGTACGAACAGACTCAACATCGCCTCTCGAAAAAAGCATCAAGTCGTTGGCGAAAATGAGATGCGTCAATTTGTGCACATGGCACATCGGGTGGAAGTTGAGCTCTTGCTCCATCGATCGTACGTGCAGAAATCTCGAGAGATATTCCATGCATATCACAAAGAGGTAAGGTGATAACGGGTCCCCTTGACGAAGTCCACGCATCCCCGGAAAAAAACCCTTCGTCACTCCATTAACCGACACCGTATAGAAAACCGATGTCACGCACTCCATAATCCATCGGACCACCAAGTCCGGGAACCCTAGCCCCACCAACATCGAACGCAAAAAATCCCAATTTACGGAGTCGTAGGCCTTCCGTAAATCCATCTTGATCAAACACCGGGGAGAGATCCGTTTGCGTTCGTATCCCCTCATAAGTTGCTCCACCATATGTATATTATCCGTTATAGATCGCCCACTCACAAAAGCCGATTGGGCCCGATCTATAATTGAGGGCAGTACCTTCTCAATGCGTTTCGTAATTACCTTCGCGATCACCTTGTAGATGACATTACAGCAAGCAATAGGCCGAAAGTCGCCCACCGTTTGAGCATGGGCTGATTTTGGTATGAAAACCAAGACCGTGTTATCCCATTGCTTAAGCAACTCGCCACTATGAAAGAACTCCAAGACAGCCTCCGTAAGGAGTGGTCCCACGGTTGACCACGCCGCCTTGAAAAAGAGGGCCGTGTACCCATCCGGCCCCGGTGCTTTACCGTCGGCGATATCAAAAAGCGCTTCCCGAATCTCCACCCCCGTCACCGGTTGAATCAGCCCCTCCCGATCCTCCTCGCATAGCATCGGTCCCGTGGCAATTATGAGGGGGTCAACCGGTTCACATGTAGTGCGTGTTCCCAAAAAATTTCGGTAGAAAGTCTAGAATTCTCCAAGTACCTCATCCCTTGAAGTTGTGACCGAACCATCCTCCCTACGTATTGCAACAATATCATTCCGTTTTGCATTCCGCTTTGCAATCCCATGGAAGAATTTCGTCGTGCGATCCGAATCTCGTAAATGGTGGAGTTTCGCCTTTTGGTAGTAAAAACTCTTTTCCGCTTTTGCCAAGAAACGAAATTTCTCCACTTTAGCCAGCATCTCCCCACATAGTTGTTGGTTATGGGGGTCGTTGTGGCAGAGTTGCTGAATTTCCACGAGCTCATCGCCCACACGCTTCACCCGTTCGGAAATATGCCCAAACTCCCGTCGATTAAACCGCTTAAGTGGGTGCTTAAGGGCCTTGAGGTTCTTGCAAACGGCCCATTGACGGCTACCCCGGTAACTTGCCGTCCATACCTCCTTAACTTCACGTTGAAAGTCGTCGTGCTGGGTCCACATGTTGAAGAACCGAAATGGACGGGATGCCGGGGGTTCGGTCCCACCCAATTGCACAATAACCGGAGAGTGGTCCGACACCGCCCCAAACGGTAGCAATTGTGCCGAACTGCCCTCAAAAGTGTCACGCCACGTTTGATTGACAAGCGCTCAATCTAGTTTACTCCACACAGTGTGGTTCGTCCACGTGTAATGAAATCCCGTTGAGGCTAAATCCTCCAGTCCACTTTGTCGAAAACACGTCTGTATCTCATGAGCAAGTAGGGGGTGAGCAAATTACCTCCCGATTTTTCTTCAGGTTTTAGGACTACATTAAAATCGCCCATGCATAGCCACGGCTCGGTGAGGCTCGACCCAAACTCCACTAGCGATTGCCACAACGGCCGTCTCATAACCGGTGTGAAGAGTCCATAAACAAAACTAACGAAGCATAGCCGTTGAGTGACCATACACGTTACCTTGCAATGAACCACCTGCGACGTCATATCAACTACTTCCACCCGAGCCACGTCCGGGTTCCATACGACGAGGATCCGGCCTGCCGTGTGGAGGTGAAAGTTATTGATATTCATCCAATGCCGGAATCGCCGATCCATGATAGAGCTGAGCGTCCCCAGATCCCAAATCTTCGTCTCCAATAAGCCACAAACCGAGAGTTTGTGCTTACCAATGAGGTCCACGACCTCCTTCTGCGTGAGGGAATAACGCAACCCCCTCACGTTCCAACATCCCATAATCATTGCGTCTTTGGGGGTTTTAGCCCCCCCCCCCCCCCTCCCAAATAGATCACTGGGATATACCGCTGGTGATGTATCCCTAGGGGATCGAAAGAAA